TGTATTTGAGATTTATTCAATACTAGATGGTTCAATTTTGCTGTTGATTTTGCAGACCTAGTTTAAAGATCTGTACAGAATTAGCATGTTGGATAGTTAGTTGTATGGAAAGTAAGTTCAAAGAAAAGGTTTATTCTCTCACCTGATGACAACAGATTGTTCTTAGGTCACTCGCCTAGAGTTGTCCAAAAAGTGTTTCAGGGATGAAGGCTCAGAAAAGAGACGCTGTCAAGCATTTTCAACAATACCTAACAAACTGTGACCTTGCTGAAAAAAAAAATACATTTTTTTTAAACTAGAGTTTGAGGTGTTTAATGTTTTATTTGGACTGTACAATTCTATACAGAATTAGTGCATATATGCCCTTTGACAAAGCAGCATGCTTATGCAAGATTGTTTATTTTGGTAAAAATCCTCATTTTAAGTCACTCTCAAGTCCAGTTTTTCATAATTTGGGCAGAAGAGAAATAAGCCTGGCTACTGTATCTGAGCAGCTGCCCTGCCAGCAGCATGGGGAGGCCAGGAGGCTGAACAAAGCAGGGGCAGAAGGAGAGGACAGGTTGGAAATGTGAGATGAGTCTTTCTTCTGTGTAAACATGCTCAGTTGGCTGGTGGTAATTATACTTGCTCATCCTGCCACCAGCAACACCAAGTCCAGTGTCAGCCAAGAGTTAACAAGTTACCTAGGAAGGAAACAGTAGATTTATTTAAAAAATAAATAAATTCTTTGAATTGTGTGTAAATAACAAGAGAGACAACAATGCCTACTTTCCCAAAGCATGTTGAGATCTGTAAATTAAGGTTTACATAACAGTGTAAATATAATTATTTATTTAGGAGTTCTCACATTTCACTTCTCTTCTTCTTCCTCTTCCCTTTTACTTGTTTGTTGGGAAAATGTTATTTGCATTCATGAATATGTGTCCAAAGTGGGAGGCAATGGGAAGGATATGGAATATAAGATAGTTTGAGTGAACAGGAGCAGGGAGGAGAGGAGGTATGGGATGGGGGTGAGGCCAGGGGAGAGGCTATAGAAAGAGTAAGAACAGGTTAGCAAGAGAGGAATAATATTTGGTTTCTTTTGTGATTAAATTTTTTTTTTACTCTAAATCACCAGAAAATCTTGTTAAACATTAAAGACAAACAACAAAAATTTAGAGCAGCTGTGAAAAGAGAAGTTTTTAAAAAATCTATCTGGGCTTCAGTTGTTGATGCATGTGGTATGATTCATACTTTTAGCTTTCCAGCTGAAATCAAATTGAGGCTACTGCTGGTGCACTTTCCCCACCATCTCCCCATGTCTGCACCACAGGCTTTGAGTGAGAAGTCTCTTATGTTTTGATAGATGTTGAGAAAGGGTGCTGGTATATAACAGTAGCCAAACTTCAATTAAATAAGATGTTAAAATAAGGTACTTCAGGAAGAATAAAACTAATTATAATAAGTGACTTTAATGGAAAACATAGATGTCATGGGGGATGTGAACAAAACAACTCCACTGACTTGTAACTGAAGGATGTATTTGTACTGAGAAAAGCATTTGAGGCATGGCTGAAATGAGAATAAACTGGTTCTATAGTGAAGGAGCTGCTCGATTACTATATGACCAAAACAGAAACCCTTTTTGCTTCCAAACTCATGTATCTGTCTAAAATGGTTTGCCATATAGTTCCTTCATAAAAATTGTCTTTCCTGTATTGAAATATTTATTTTCCTTTTTATGTCTGAAAGCCCTTAGAGTTTTTCTCTTTGTGACTCCTTCACTTCATATTTTATTCCCCTACTTCCCGTGTTCCTGGCATCGGCTCTGTTGAATGCTGCCTCTTTATGACTTTATTAATAGCTCATCTCTGGAAGTATGTTAACTACCCTGACTCTGTTAATTTTATTTTTTTTTTCATATGATTTATGTGAGATGAAATGCACAGTATTGTAATACAGAAGCTTGTGACAGGATCCAGGTTCTTTATACATTGGATTAGACGTTTTCTTATTGCTGCCAAACTAGTCCTCGGAGTTCTTCTGTGGTATTCCCAATTACAGCAGAAACATTGTGCAAAAAAATGTTCTGAGAATGCATTGCAGCCATACCCACCTAAAGCAGAAGAACACAGAATAGCTAAAAGCAGACAGTTTATTGGTAGGCACTGAATCTTTAAAAATAAATTTACACATCTTAATGCAGAGTAGATTAACTGATCAACAACAAAGTTGTAGCATTCACATTCTGTTTCAAAACCAAAACATTCTATGTAATGCCAGGGTCTGAGTCTGCTACAAATATTGATCCATAGGAAACACCCATGTGTATATCATACTGGAATTTAGTATTCACAAAACATATCTGACTGGATATATTCACTAATAAACTTAATTACTAAAATGCTTACATGCAGAATAATTTTCTGACAATGGAGGAAGTCACAGCTTAAATTCTTCCAGGTAAGTGCACAAAGAAGGAAGGCATTCTTCAGCTGAGTAAGGATAAATGCTTAACCAAATAACTTTTTAGGCTGTAATTCATATTGAAATCAGCACTGATCTCTCTTTAATGATCAGGGCTTTGTGTTTTATATATGCAGAAGAGGGAAGGCTAATCTACACTGATGCAGTTCCCAAATATAGACAACTAGATTTGTACAAGGTTTCTGAATAAGTTAAAACAAACTATGATGTTTCCAAGTGGTGGAAACAATACTGTTTCTCTTCAGTGAAGAACCATGTAGCTGTTCTGGAGTCCTAACATCTCGAATGCACAGTAAGTGTCCAGTTGTGCATTCTTCGGATTTGTGGAACATTGGGAATGAAATTAGACTTTATGGGAGACAGTTTCTCTCCTGGTGTTAGCTGAGAATCTTTTTTCTCATTCTGTGCTTAAGACATTTTCTGTGGTTGCACTTCCAACTAAATGTTGGACTATCATAGGGACTATTCCAGGTAGCTGCAGAGTAATCCAGCACCCTTGTGATAGGAAATCAGGACCCTTGAAATATACTTACTTGCTTTATTTTATTTAATGTTCCGTATCCAAGAATATTTTTTAAAATTAGGTTAGTTGCTTCAAAGTACTCCTTAAAGGGGGAAGAAAGAGCACTGTGTTATTCTTCCTTAGCAGCATCTTTTGAATCTGTTCTGGCTGCATGAAATCACTGTGAATATTGCTCTGACTGCCCTGGTGTCCTGGGAAGAATTTCAGCCTCTTCTCCAATCCTGAATGAGGGAAAGCCTTCTGGAACAAATACCAGCCATCTTCATCCCTTGTGGCTAGAGTCTATCCAGTCTGGACTTCCAAAGACAGACTGTAGGTCACCTGCCTTTGTGAGACCAGCTGGTTTTACTTTCCAAAAGTTTTTTTTGGCAATAAGGTGGTTCTGACCTAGGATTTTTGCCTCCCTAAAACATTAACGTGGTCAGTGCATAGGATTGTGCTTAGCAAATGGAATGGGCAGCACTGGAATAAAAATGCCTTGGAAGACGTCACCACACACTGGCTGAGCCCTAACTGGGCACCTGGAATGTGCCCATCTCATACCTTCCCACTGTCAGAGCTGGGTTTCACAAGCAGTGACTCAGAAGAGGATAAGCCACAGCTCAGAGAAACACAAGAATTCCCACATCAAAACTTCATCTAGTTTCCCAATGCAGGATACAAATGAAAAACTACTGTTTTTTACATGCAACGCTGAAGTGCACATCAGTTAAGGAAACTGAGCCTGTGAACCACCAAAGTGAACCTTGGGTCCATTTTCCATCGCTTCTTTCCTCTTTGGACTGTTTTCCATTTTGCGCAGAACAAAAGTTAGTTTCCTCTCCACCTCCAGCCATCTCTGCACAGCTGGGAAGGGCAAATAGGGCTGGTACTTGTGTCCTTGGGCTCCAACATCAGCCATGCCCAGAGTGAGAAGGGGCAGGGGGACTCTACCCCAGCAGAGCCACTGCAGCCGGGGCAGCTGCTTGGTGGCTCCCCTGCCATGATGTGATTCTGTGGATGGGGCTGCAGACATTGAGGTGGTCACCACTTATTAAATATTTCTGGTGCTGACACAGAGGAAGAATATGTTCTGACTCACATCTCCAAAGGCTGAGTATGTCTGTGGGACTGAAAGGTGCAAAAAGCAAGAGTTTATTTTTCTAAGTTACTAAGTCACTAAGCTGCTGGGAGATATGACCGGTACACGCAGACAAAGCAGATCCACTGATTAGACTGCTGGTTTACAGCTTATTTTCTCAGTATAAGTTGCCTGTTGAAACAGAAAAAAATCAAAGATAAAAAAGCTACAGTGCAGCCCCCAACCAGCTCCCCATTAAGTTCATCAGTAGAATAAACATCTGTGCCAGTGACTGCTTTGTCTAATCTGTAATGCCATATTGTATTTATTGAATAATATATCTATTTATCACATAGTGATAAATAAACTCCTCACTAGTTTCCAAATGCAATTACCAAAGGTGTCTTTACATCTTTAAATGTCATTTAGAAGGAAAGCCACAGCCAAAATGTTAATGAGCTTGCCTTAATTGTAAACGCGGAGCACTGATAAGAATGAAACTCCATCCTCTTTCTCAAAGTAGTTCTTACGTGTTTCCTACTTACACTGCTTTTTATCTGATTCTCCTTCACTTCTGTTCTTAGGCAGATTAATAGGCATCTGACCAGACAAATAACAGTACTATATCTTCTTCACACCCTTTTGACAGACTTTTGAGATTGCAAAATATTTTTGGAAAATTATTATTGGAAAAAAGATTACTGAATGGTCAGGTGGATGGCAGTTTTTCAGTCTGGAACAAGCCGTTCCCCAGCATTCACATGAGCACATTAGTAAATCGTACTTAAATGCTGATGGGACATTTTTTAGAATGTGATAAGTGTGAAATAGCCTGTAGTTTTATCAGTCTTAGTTGCTGCCCACTACTGCTAAAAAAAGGTTGATTGTGATCATTAAGCTGCAGGTAGGCAGTGCCTCTGGACTGTAAAATAGGAATGTTAGTGCGCAGTGATGAAAGCAAACTTTGCTCAACACCTGTCTATATATATTGCAGGTCTCAGTGGCTGCCCAGCTGATCTGTTTGCTCTGTTGTCTGGGGAGAAAGAAGTGGTAAGTAAGAACAACTTAGATCGAGTTTTCTTTTCTTCTTAGAGTATAGTCTTGCTTAACTTATAAATCCAAAGCTCTGCTTCTGCAGCTGGAGGAATGGCAACAGAGAGCTAATGCGAGGAGCTGGAGTGGCATAGGAAATGTCATCCACTTGGTAGCTTTTTCAGATTGTGTTTTTTCAACAGCATTTATATTTTAAAGAAGTGATATAAAATGAAAGTCTAAACCCAAACTGGGCTGGTTTTTGTCTGCAAATAAATAGGTTTATTTTTATGGAATATGGTAAAGGAAAAAAGCACCATCTTAGTAGCTGCTAGAAAAAAAACCTACAGAAATAACTGCCTATAGCATAAGAAAGTATTGTTTTTACTATTTGGGTTGAAAAGAAGAGAGATTTTAAGTCATAGTAATCGGTGGTATTGGATACTGGAAAATGTCTAGGATATGATTAATGAAACATTGGAAGGAAACTCTGTCAGTCTGTGTGTTTGCATAGATAGTGTGTAAAGTCTGTGTGCTGCACTAGGGCTGTGTCAGGGTATTCTTGATGGAAACATTTTCTTATGCTAATTTGGTTTGATACACAGAGGAAAAAGGAATACATTAGTCTAATGCAGTTAGTTCAACTAATGTGACAGTAGGCAGAAATCAGCTGGTTTCTCAGTAACTTTTATTAGCAGCTCCTCCATTCAATCAGTAAGTCTTTTTAATACCATTACTTTTTCCTCTCTCAGTTCTTTAGTATGTGTTTTGTATTTGGGACGGGGTAGATTTGTTGTGTTTCCTTGTTGGTGGGATTATTTTTAGTTTTATTGTTTTATTCTTTAAAAAAGTAACTGCTATTTAAATACCTAGCAGGCTTTTCAAGATGTTCACTGATATTTCCTGGCTCTGGCTCTTCAGTGGCAGTGTTTGGTGCTTTGCTTGGTTGTGAATGCAAAAATTAATGTTTGGAACTTCTTTTCTCTCTGCACTATCTTAGAAATTAGTTCTCTTTATTAGTTTGTTTTATCTGTTTGTTTTCTTGGGTTTTTTAAATTTTGCTGTGTGGTATATTCAAGCTTGTGAGCAATAAATCTCAGGGATCTGTAGGAATAAACAGTGAGGACAATGGTAATTATTTTTTTTTTAAGCTTTCACATATTATTTCTTTTACTGCTATATTAGTTTACATCCTGGATATGAGGTTTACATCCTGGATAAACCTGCTAACTTATTAAGAGAAAAAACCCCAGGGAAGTGGCTGGTGTCAGAGCAAAGGCAAGACTTGCTCCTAGCGAGGCTGAATCATTGCTGATGTTTATTTAAAGTTGTTGCCTGTTCTGTTGCACCCGGGGCTTTGTGGCTGCCATGGAACAGGTTCTGGGGCAAAATTATCAGCTGATGTAAAGATACTGAATGAATTTGTGCTGGCTGAGGATCTTTCCCTTCCTGTCTCTACATAATGTGCTTCTATGTCAGAAATTATACATTTTAAGGGGCTGAACCCAATATTTCTTTAAGTTGTGTATAAGAAGGATTGCTCTGTAGCTTGGTATTTGCTTCTATGAAGTATGTGTGTTAAATACTCATATTTACTAAGTTGTGTAGTCAGATATTAGGTCAGCTGATAAATCCCTTTTTAACATAAAAACTGTAGCACAGCAGTGAATGACAAGAAAGTGACGTTTATTTGTAGAAAAGCTGAGGGAGAAGGAGAGAGCAAGGGAGAGAGGGGAAAGCCTGGCTGAACCCAAAACTTGAATTGGAGCTGCAGAAAAACCTGTAGGCAAACATACGGTCACACTGGTGGTTGCTGCAGTTATTACCCATTGGTTTTGGTAATGCTACTGTTTTCTCCAGTAATTTTATTTCACCTGGGTTTGACTAGTTCTGTTCCCCCAGAGGTGGGATTACTTTAAGGCTTCCTGCTTCATAGCTGTTATTGCAGGCACAACGTGGCCTTTCAGTGAGCTGTCACGGGTGGACAGGTACAAACAATACTGTCCAGGCATGTGCTACTGGTAGTTCATGTTCTCCATGTGAAGTCCAGCAAAATAAATAGATTTGCAACTGGTTCTGATTTAAAACCAAGAGTCTAACCCAGCAACAGAGGCAATGCTGTTACAGTCCAATGAGTCACTGACGAACGCAACACCCAACAACTGCATCACACCTGGTGGTGTTCAGATAATTCCCCAGACACTTTAACTCTTTGAAGTGCTGCTGCAAGAGAGTGAATATAGCTACAAAAATCATGGGAGCCCACTTGGGCTTCAACTTCTCTCTCTCATTTTCTTTCAGAATTTGAATGTCATTGATTTCTGTCTGTCTCCCTCTTAGAAGCAGCAGGTTTCAGTTTCTTTTGCCGTTAGAAACAATGTCACACATAGTTAGCATTTTCCAAAGGTGAGGAAAGACTATCCTGACAATGAAAGGAGCAGACATGATGGTGTGAGAGGATTTGCTGCCAGGTTCATTGAAAGGGACCAGGTTACACCAAGCACAGGCATCACCTTTCAGCCGTTTGCAATATGCATGGCATATTCTGACCTTCGGCTTTCAGGAGGAAACTAGCTCCCCTTTCAGCTCCCTGCTCCAACATGTGGATATCCAAAGCACCAGTGTTTATCCAGGTGTCAACTCCACCACTGTGCCTTGGACGCCAGCACCCCAGCCAGTGTCCTGCCAGCTGAGACAGGAGCTGAACACTGGTGCTGAGACATGTGAGCTGGCTTGGGGCTGGACAGAGCTCATCACCTCATCCAGCAATTGTGGCTGTCCTGCCTCTGGACTTGGACTGGTGAGTCCAGCTGAACATAGCTCCTTGTTGTGTGCATCATCACCAGCCCAGCAGCTCCTTGTGGTGTGCATTGTCACCAGCCCATCCTCTGCCCATTCTTAGATACATTTCTTCACAGTGTTGTTATGCCTTCGGTGTTCAAAACCAAACCACCATTAGGGTTTTCATTGTCATTTATATCTTGCTTTAAGTGATATTGGTCGTTTATACCATGCCTGATGTCAGCCTTTCTAAGGGTGTATGTGAGTTCCTAGGAATGATGCAGTTGGCTTTGTCACCCCACTGCTCTGCACTTCCACAGAACCCTGGTTTTCTTTTGAGTATTTTTGCAAGATGTTAATGTCTGTATCTGGGCCAAGGAAGAATTCTTTGAAGGGAAAACTGTAGAATGTAGATTATCATTCCAGCACAGCAATTAATTAACAGTAAGTAGCTGTGGCTGGAACTCTAGCAGAGTATCAAGTAGCTGTAAACTATCTTCTCAGCTGTTCCCCTTAGCAAGAGTTGGGATCTGGAGAAAGCTGACAGCTTTGGTAGCACTTTGAGGATCTAGATGGTTCTGCTTTCATCAGTACTTGATACCAATCACACAGAATGGGTTGTCCTAGTAATACCTCTGCAAACCGCAAGTGCACATACTGTAAAGACCTCCAGTATTCAAGTCTAGCTTCCCAAATCAGAGATTTACCAGGGCTCGTATGAATAACTTTATATACATATATATGAAAAGCCTTCTTCCACAGAGGTGGCAAACTCTCATTCTGTGGTATTTAATCACATAAAGAAAAAAACCCCAAAACAACAACAAAATCAACACATGACATACCTGTGGGATCCTGAGCACCTCAGGAACATGGGAGGTGCTTAGTACGAAAAAATGCCCTGCTGAATTCCTGAACAGAGGAATTTATTTAGAAGACATGGATGCTGCAGAAGTTTTCAAGCTCCAGTTTCTCCAGAGAATGTATCAGCTCAGATTCCATACAGTAATCATGCAGGTTGAATCCCTTATTTCCATACTGAGCGTAACAGAAGAAATGCAAAAGTACTGATGGCATCTCCAGGGCTGGTGGTGTTCAGCAGATTCTGTGTCTCTCCGTGGTGTGAATACTTTGTCAAAGCAACTTCACATCTGAATATCCAATGCATTATCATGATTGCATTTCACTTAAGAAGCACTTGTGCTGAGCAGAGCTCTGTAAATGCTGAACATGTATAGATGAAAGTTGTTTAACTAGACAGAGGTGTTCTGGCTTGGGTGAGGCTTGGAGGTTGTTCTGGCGTGGGCAAAAATAAAAGAATTAGCTCCAAGCAAGTGGAAACTCTTGTTGAAACAAGTAAGAACAGTTTTCTTCCATCTGTTCTGAGATCTTTCTTTGTGTATCTTGGGAGCTGCTCTAAATCTTACACCACAGACAAAGAATGTGTAAAAACATAGTTTTTGCTAATGGGATTGTAGAACAATTTTTCCTGCTAATGCAGGAAGGGAGATACTCTTTTCTTTGTGGAGTGCCAGAGAACAATACTGTCTTTTGTTACAGTAAGATATGAGTGATTTTTTTCTGTGACATTTCCTTCCCAGCTCAAGGAGAAGGATGTATGGCTGATTGATGTGGGCAGGGCCGAAACATTTTCACCATCAGCTACCTAAAGGATTACAATTAAATGAATGATTAATTATAGTCCCTTAGAGTGGCTGCTAAATGCAGGTGAACCTTGTTTATGGGAGCATGATACCAGTTCTGACACTCACTTTTGGAGGCTGGGCACAAGTGCCCTGTTTACCAGGAGCATTGCAGGCAAATTTGCTCCCCCAGGTTTCTGCCACCCATGTGGCAGAGAGGGTGGAAGAGATGAACCTGAAGGTGAGGCTTTTCTGGTTAGGGTTCACTTCTCCCATCCTTTCCAGTGAGTTTTTGGTCATGCTGGCTGAGCAAACCAACAACCTAGCAAGCCTGGAAAGGTAGAAGTATTGCCTTAGCTTCCCACAGTCACCTTCCCCCTTTTTCATTTTTTTTTGACTTCTGATATTGGTGAAGTAAATAAATATACATTTTCCAGGTTTTGGCTCAAGAAACAGCTGTCTCCTCCTCTTGTGCCTGAGCTAGGTCTATCACATGTGCTTGTACTTGTGCTGGCAGTATTTGGCCATGCAATGTCTCATTTTTTCAGTTAATATTTGCTAATATTACAATGCATATCAAATGTGCTCAGAAAGGGTCTGGAAAGAAGAGATTCAAAAAGAGAGTCTATGTGAGATGGGTGAGCCTGACCTTGGTGTAGCCTGACTCAGCTACACTTGCAGCATCAGCCATGAGTTACAGGCAAATATAGACCTGCACATGGCCCCTGTGTCTAATTACACTCTTGCCCAGCAAGCATCATTCTGGAGCCTCAGACTCTGGAGTCTTCCTCCATCTTGTCTGGGGTCACATTGCCCTCCATGTTTCCATAGGAATGAACCAGTAAAGGCAACAAGATTGTGTTTAGCATATGTGACTCAAACTAAGCAATGTTTTAGGGAAGAAATTTCTTTGCTAAGCTCTGTATATTGAATTGCCAGTTTGGAAAAGGCAGACCACTGAAACCAGAAGGTGCAAGAAAGTAAAACAGTCCTCTGACTTTTTGCTGAAAGGAGATAAAATTAATTAAAGAAAATAAATGCCTAAGATTTGTGAAGTAGAGGAATAATTGCTTTCATAACAGTTGAAAGTGAACAAAAATAGAGGCATGAGATAGAAATATTTTCTTTTAATTTTGTGAAATGCACACATAAATCAACTGCGTGATTTTAAAAATAACTGAATAATCCATTTTGCAAATAAAGGAATAGTTCATAAAGGTTAGTAAAAAGCTGTGTCCAAGAACAAACTTCTTCCTTTCCATTTCCATCTCATTTGCTCTTAAACTTAATCATGTTTCTCACATACCCTGTTGTAAGTTGACTATTTTGACTACATGCACATTTTAATTAATATTACTTTGTTAGTCATAGATCATGGCTCCTTGGCCTGAAGTGGAGAAGCCTGAAACCAATAACTATATCGGGGACCCTTCCAAACAAAACCAGAACATGGCTGGGAAAGAAGGAGAAAATCATAAAGGTAGTGTGTGCTAACCTGAGACTTACAGAGATATGCAACTTTGGGGGCTCTTTGAAGAAGATGGAAAGTAATTAGACAATTTTTTAAATGTGCTACTTCATCAGGCAATGTGGCTTCACTTGGAAATAAGGGGGAAATTCAACCTGCATTTTCCACAATAGCCTTGATAGATGAGACAAGGCCAGAAGAAGAGGACCCATGGGCTCTGCCAGAACTGCAGGACACAGGAGTCAAGTGGTCAGGTAGCCATTTCTCAGTAAATAAATTACCTGCATTCATTCTTTTCTATTACTTCTGATCTTTGTCACAGTTATTTTTCTGAAATTATATTTTCTGCAGAATTTAATTTAAGATTTGAAGATTTTTCAGATGTGAGCTTTACACTTTGTCTCACAACTTCCCCAGCAGGGAATGGAGATGTTACATGTATTCAGCTAAGAAGAATCTGGAAAACTTGCTGTTCAGCATCCTTAAACACAAGGAGAAATACGGAATACAATCCAAAATTAATAAGGTTCTATATCCAGGCTTTCTTTACTCAGTAGAATGACTGTGTAAAGCCAAGGGTCCATCTCAGTCTTCATAAGGCCTTTTCATATGCTAAAAGCTTTTACACAGTAAAACTACATAAATGAACTACATGCTTCTGCAGTTAAAATTTGATTAAGAAGAACATTCTTTTGGGTTTAATCACATGTTCAATCACAACACTTTCTTTGACTCTGTCATCTGTGCTTATAGGCTGAAGAGTTCTTAAGAGAACACCAGAGACATCACGCAAGTCTGTTATGCATAATATATTTGTTTTACAGAACTGGATACAAAAGGAAAAGTCATCCGTGTCCTCTATGGAATAGGGAAGTTTATTATGCTACTTGGATTACTCTACATGTTTGTGTGTTCACTGGATGTACTGAGCTCTGCCTTTCAACTGGTAGGAGGTATGAAAATGACTAAAATATCAAGAATAAGCTATCAACGAGGCAGTATATTTCACCTGAGTCACTAAATTACAAGTTTCTCTCTTGAAGAACAGGCTCTGTAGTTTTATATGTTGAGATGTAGATTCAGAAGGAAGCAGCTCTGAGTGAAGACTGACCTTCATTTGTTTGAATGGGTCTTTGTTTCTCAGATTCCAAAGACCTGTTGATGCAGGGATTATTGGTCCGGATTTCTTAGTAGGTTCCTGTTGCTCTTGTGGCAGTTTACATTAATACATCTGTGCATAAAGCTGTCCCGTGTGAAAGACATTTCAACAAGATGCAATATGATAATTGCTCTCTTGATCAAAGCATCCAGCACTGAAATGTCCCCTAAATCTTTGAAAGACAAAAACTATTGATATTTATTTTCCATTTTTTCCTGTCTCCAAGGGTTGAATTCTGCTGATGGATTCAGAAGCAGTTACCAGAGAAATACGTGAGCTTCTGTGTTGGTATTCTGGATTTTTGGCAACACAGAAAGCTACAGAACACCATTACTGAGGATTATTAAAATAGTTTTCCTTGATGTAGTAAACAAAAATATCAAGGAAGCAATAGCATTTAAATCTATGCATGTGTAGGGTTTTTTTTGTCCTGCAGTCTTTCCTCTGATGGTTGTGGGTTTATATGGTACTTTGCAGAGTTCAGTAGAGCTTGTTCAGTCACTGAAATGAGAAAATAGAAAGTATTATCCTATGACTGAGAAGCTGAGAGTTCAGCACCGAATTTGGATCCCTGGGCTACATAATATTATACATTTTTTGGCTGGCAAGTATGGCTAGATCTGTATTAATTAAACACTCTGATAATTCCTATGGACTTCACATTGCACTTGCCTCACTCTGAGAATATGTTTTTTGTAGGTAAAGCAGCAGGGGACATTTTTCAAGATGATTCAGTGCTGTCTAATCCTGTTGCGGGTTTGGTGATTGGGGTCTTGGTGACTGTTATGGTCCAGAGCTCCAGCACTTCTTCATCCATTGTGGTCAGCATGGTGTCCTCCACATGTAAGTCTGCTTACAGGATCTTCCTAGAGATCACTTGGTCTGGTGTGAAGCTTTGGGTGTAAAAGTAGAGACTATAGGAAAATATTTTCACAGCTGTTGCCCAGGTATAAAATAAAAATTTTAAAAAGTAGTAGTAGTAGTAGTCGTCGTCGTCGTCGTCGTAGTAGTAAAGGTTAAGTCCACAACTGCACTGCAATTCTTTGGAAACCTTGGCATTGAATGGATTAATTTTGGAAGTGTCTGCACACTTTTCTCATGTAAGCAAGTGACTAAACATTAATTGTTTCTGTGAAATAATTTCAAAATTCTGCAGTAAGTAAGAAAATATCTGGGAAAGAAGAGACTTCATATTACTCTGGTCCTCTAACATGTGGTGAAAAAGAATAATCATGGGGATCATGAGACTGTGGGGGTACCACATTCCCAGGGGGCATTATTAAAGCAAACATATCTAGAGTGGAACACCTAATCCCAGTGACATCAAAAGAAGTCAGGGTTCCAGTGACATTAGTAGGTGTCAATTGTCTTTGGAGTAAAGAGCTTGCTGATGATCTGATTTTCTCATGCAGTGCTTCTTTTTTTGCTTTCTAGTGCTGTCTGTTCAATCAGCCATTCCTATCATAATGGGGGCAAATATTGGCACTTCAGTTACAAACACGATTGTGGCACTCATGCAAGCTGGGGACAGGAATGAATTTAGAAGGTATTGTACTTAAACACGAGATGTGAAAAGTTGGTTTTCTTCTTTCTTTGTAAGTTTCTTTTCTATATATCCTATCACTAGTACAGCCATTCAACCCTTCTATTGACCAAAATTTGAATATCTAGTCAAAAAAGTCACAACATTGCCATGGTCAAGGTATAATGCTGTCTAGATGTCTTCATATACTTGAAGAAAAATATATTGGGCTCCCTTAAAAGTGTAGTGTTTTTTGTAAGAATCTACTATTTTTAGATGGCCTTGCACAAGGATAAATTTTCAACTGCTCCCACTATGCCACCTCTCTTTGATTGTATCTGTTGTTTAAGGGAGGGGTGTACAAGAAGTTAATATTACTGGTTTTTGGTCTACTCTTCTTAAAAGAGACTTCAGTGTTGAAGGTTTTGTAAGTCTGCAATAAGCAAGAGCCAGTAACTCTAGAGAAATGGAATGTTCTGGTTGTTAAATGTATACAGTGACAACTTTTAGTCTGACACTTGATGTCATCGCTGAGAACTCGTGTCTTACTGGAAATGGGCAGTAAAATTGGGAGGCATATGAGACTTGTCGTTTATGGCAAACCAGTTGCATGAAATATGCTCAGCCAAAGCCTCTGTGGCTCCTCAGACTCTGGAAGAGAAGCTGGAAGGGAGCTGTACAGCAAAGGTTTGGAAGAACTTGTGAGAGGGGTGCAAAGAGTCACCCTCCCCCATGAGTCAGGGAGAACAGGTCTCAGAGGCAACACTTGGCTGAGGATTAAAAATGTACCAAAAATGGGTGAGAGGAAAAACAAATGTAGGCTGTACAGCCCCTTCTTTCTGCAGACAAGTACTCTTGGCAGCCTCATGTTAAGGGTGACTTTTGCATTTTCTAGTTTATCTTGCTTCACTCCACTGGCTGGCTCCTTCGCTTGGTCAGCAGTGTGGACAGAACTTAGCACTCTGTAGCAAAGTAGCCATCTCTTGTGACCCCAGAAGTTCAACTATTCCCATTTTGAAATGAGCTTCATCCTCACTTATATGATTTTGTATTTGGTGGATGTTGTGCATATGTTGTTTAATGAAAAGCATTTTCTGTTTTTAAATTTCTTCTTGCAGGGCCTTTGCTGGGGCAACAATCCATGATTTTTTTAACTGGCTTGCTGTGTTTGCACTGCTGCCCATTGAAGTTATTACTGGCTATCTTTACCATCTCACCAATGTCATAGTTGAATCCTTTCACCTTGAAAGTGGTGACGATGCCCCTGAGCTACTAAAAGTTATCACAGACCCCTTTACAAAGCTGATCATTGAGGTAAGCTTTTTCTGTCTTCAAGGAAGCTGCTTACTTGGTTCAGCCACCAGAAATCAAAATGCTCTGAATATGGGGAGGGTTCCCACTCACTTCTCTGTGCCCTTGAGATAAAGCTCATTTGCGGATGGATTCCTCTTTTTATTAAATTTTATAAAATCCCAGCACCATATTCCCTTTCTCTCCCACATTTCACCTAGCTAGGATGATAGACCTAGCTAGGAGGACTGGGAAGTAAGGTGAGGACAAATGCAGCCATATGGGATGGATGGAGTGGTAGCCTGTTGCCTAGACATTGGCAGAGAGTGCCAGCTGAGACACCCTAGCACATCCAGAAGAACTGCATATGACCTGAAGAGGTGACAATGAAATTATGGGAAACTTGCACACACCTAGAGGAGCTGGAGGCTATAAGAGGGATACACACAGCTGCTAAAAAGACAGAAAATGCATGTAGGTGGTTGGGTCAGTGTAGCTGTTTAAACAGAAAGGTTCAGATAATGTGGTGGATGATTTGGTGAAAAGGACACACAGTGTTTGTACACATAAAGTTGTACCTTCTTCTGGGACTAAAGTCCCTCCTACCTGTTGGGCAGCAGCTCCAGCATTAGAGGCAGTCATGCTGGTTTTATGTGATTTAGCTTCCAAAGGGAGTTATTTGAGTAGAGCTGAATGTAAGTACAAGTTGAAATAATGCCTTTTTTTTTTTTTTCCCCTTCCCTCCCCCCCCCCAGCTTGATAAATCAGTAATTAATGCAATTGCTACAAATGATGAATCAGCAAAAAACAAAAGCCTGGTAAAGATTTGGTGTGTGACTGAAACCAATGTGGTGAGTATCATGCTAAATTCATTGTCCGGTTCTTCAGGAAATACATGATTGAACTGTAGCTGACAGTTCTTATCCTAGGACTGTGAAATTAGACTTTTTAAATGAGTACTTTTTTTTGCAGTAGAAAAAGAATTAAAACAATTTAATGGAGATTTTGTTCCACTTAAACAAAGCAGTGAGCTTGATTTGGTTGCTTTCAGTACCATGCAGACCTACCAGCTTATCAGAACTGGTGGTTTGGAGCCAAGCTGTTTACTCCTTTCACATCCAAATGCCTTTAAACTCTGATAGTCCTACTGACTCCCAGAAAGTGGAAAAAAAATCTGCAATATAGTCCAAAGAAAATATCTTTTCACCCACCATTTATCTATCCATCTAACCAGGTTTAGTCTTACGTGTGTTAGGGTGATCTGGTGGCAGCTGGTCATTTGCAGCTTTCTTGGAAAACTGCCCTCAGAGAAAGCCTCTGTGAGGTTGTGTCCCAACACTGCACCTTGGACCCCTTCCCTCCCCCCCCCCAGCTTGATAAATCAGTAATTAATGCAATTGCTACAAATGATGAATCAGCAAAAAACAAAAGCCTGGTAAAGATTTGGTGTGTGACTGAAACCAATGTGGTGAGTATCATGCTAAATTCATTGTCCGGTTCTTCAGGAAATACATGATTGAACTGTAGCTGACAGTTCTTATCCTAGGACTGTGAAATTAGACTTTTTAAATGAGTACTTTTTTTTGCAGTAGAAAAAGAATTAAAACAATTTAATGGAGATTTTGTTCCACTTAAACAAAGCAGTGAGCTTGATTTGGTTGCTTTCAGTACCATGCAGACCTACCAGCTTATCAGAACTGGTGGTTTGGAGCCAAGCTGTTTACTCCTTTCACATCCAAATGCCTTTAAACTCTGATAGTCCTACTGACTCCCAGAAAGTGGAAAAAAAATCTGCAATATAGTCCAAAGAAAATATCTTTTCACCCACCATTTATCTATCCATCTAACCAGGTTTAGTCTTACGTGTGTTAGGGTGATCTGGTGGCAGCTGGTCATTTGCAGCTTTCTTGGAAAACTGCCCTCAGAGAAAGCCTCTGTGAGGTTGTGTCCCAACACTGCACCTTGGAGGAATCTGTTACCCAGACTGACACCAATGAGTCTTTTGATAAACTGTGGAGCTCAGTGGTTGGTTTGCATTATTCAGCTAACTAATAATTAGGGCATTAAATATCCCTTGGATCTCCAATTAGACTATTCTACCTTTTGGTATGTGTAGGAAAGTGATTCCTGAAGTCCTGAGGCAGAAGATAATAAAGGACACACAGCAGAGGTTAAAAGTAATTAAAATTAAGCGCTTAGGTTCTTAGAAGAGCCCAGCTCCTATTGAATGAGGGTCGGGATGGCCAGAGAAATGTTAGTTAGTGAGATAGTGTCAGGAGCAGAGCTGAGCAAGTGTGAAACCCTGCTCAGGCTGGGCTCCTGAGGAGCTGGGTGTTTCATCCCAGGGGAGGCAGGACTCCTGGGAGCTGTACAGCTCTCAGGGCCCTGGGCCACACTCGGCTGCCCCCTTGGCTGCTCTGCCCGGGCAGGCACAGCCCAATCCCAGTGAGGTCTGAGCCCCCTCACTCTTAGAAGATAAACAACTACATGAGAAGTGTAGGCCGAGGGTTATACTTCTAGGTACTAATTTTTTTAACCTACATTTTGGCTGTGTTACTATTGCCCAAGCATATAGTCAAATTACAAAAACATATGAAACCCTTACAAGCTCAACTTGAACTTGATGGGAGGCAAGGAAGATAATTTCCATGGTTTACATTCCTAGCAAGTTAAACTAATTTCTGGCAAAAAATATTAAACAGACTTGTGGCAGGAATAAATACACACAGATCCCATATGTTTAAAGCAAAAATAAGGATAAACATTTTGATCTAATGTACCTGCTCTGAAATTCAGATGTCTGAAAAAAAATTTAGGAAGGCAAGAAACAGTATTGTGTTATGATCACAAAGGCTGGTGTGCTGGGGAGGCTGGAGATCAGGTGGCCCCTGGAGATGTGGGGTCACTGGGTACACCCTCAGTTTTGCCCACCTGCCCATCAGCTGGCTGGGGGGATGCAAATGTGGCTGTCTGCATCTAGAGCCCAGCAAGAATATGTGGTTTCCCTCTCCCTATTTCTGCAAAAGGTAACCAATCTAACATGTTTTAAAGATACCTTTCCAAGATTCTATGATTCTATACCTCTTGATCAGCAGTGTGGTTCAGAGTCCATTTGGCTGCCAGCTTTTGCTGTGGGGGTGTACAGTTCAGTCAGCAAACTCTTTCTCAATCTGCCGAAGGACCGAAGGACCTGGTGTCAGAATGCAATACTTCTGGGCTTAGAAGCCCTTGTAAGGAAGGTTTAATTGCAGTATAAGTAGAATTTCAGGTTCATCTCAGTAATACTACTGCTAATCACAGTTCTGGTAATTAGCTTTTAGATAGTATTTGAGCTTTAGAAAGGGAAGTAGTAACAGCACTTCTAATTCTACAGACAGGAAAACAGGCACAGAGAGGCAGCATGAGCAGCGTCTGCTCATCCAGCAAGAGGCTGCACTAGTGCTGTAGCATTCTGGATCACAGGCCTGTGCAGTACCCACCAGACCATTAACTGAAGTTAAGATGATAGTGAAGAGGTCTTTTTTTGACACAAGAAAGCTGTGGCATTGGTTGGAAAAAAAATGTCACTGGCCCCCAGCTGCAGCTAAACTTGAACCTCATTACACAAACCCTGACATCAGTAGTTAAAGTTCTGAGCTAGTGATGGCTTGGTGCTATGGCTATTAGAATATGGAAGGTTTGGGGGCTATCTTAATCTTTAAATGGTTGACTGATTGACTTGGATAACAGCACAACCATTTATTTTAAGAATGCAAAATTTTTTGTCTTGTCATTAGTATAGTGTCAGCTTACAAATCTGTCTTTTGTTGATGAATACTTGGTTCTAGTAAAAATCTAGAACCTTCCATGAGTTCTTGATGAAGGGTTGTAGGTAACTGAACAATCTGCTTTTTCTGGCAACCTTTAGACGCTGCAGAATGTCACAATTCCACCTTCAGAAAACTGCACATCTCCTGAATTTTGCTGGACTGAAGGAAACGTGACATGGACCCTCAAGAATATAACTGAAACAGAATATATCACTAAATGTAAGTAGCAGAACTATTTGTCCTTCGCTAATATCTTTATACAAGCTTTCTAAAGTTGTTACATATGTGTGTGGCTTTCCAAAGGTGCTAACAGACCTCTTCAGAGGTGTATTGAGAGGCACTCACCTGTATATGGACACAAGGTATTACTACAGGTGCAGTCAGAGTAGCCCCTGCTCTGTTACAGCTACAGAGCTGGACTTACCAGTATCATCACGGTATCTGGCTGCAGATGGATCTCTTTCCTCATATCAGTAAATGAGGTCTTCAGTATCATGTCACCCTGATTGTTCAGGTGACTTGGAGCTACAGTTACTTCACTGTAATGGTTGCTTGGCTATCTCCATCCCTATGCATGCCCCGCAGGACTATCAACAGCCCTTCTCAGGCACACAGCCCCCCCTGGGAAGAGCCAGCCCACCACCTGGCTTTGAGCACAACCGAATTTCCTCATGCTATTGTGTTACTCTCCCTTGCACATGGTCATCCAGCTCCTGCCTGCCCTGCTGGAGTGCCCACTGTGTATTACACAAGCGTGTCCCTAAAAAAGCCCTCTTGCATGCCTCAGACAGGACTTTTGTGGAAGAAGGGAGTTGACAGTTTTACTCTTTGCATCTCCCTCACAAACTGTGTGTGCTTTGGTCCCATTTTCTTAGGAGCATGTATGAAAACCAGAGCTGGGTTTGGGATCAGAAGCAAAAATGTGGTTTGGCTGAGTAATTTTCCTGTTCTTTTTCAGGCCAGCATCTCTTCGCAGAATCAGATCTGCCTGATCTTGCCATTGGTCTCATCCTTCTGGCTTTGTCCCTGCTTGTTCTGTGCTCTTGTTTGATAATGATTGTTAAGCTATTAAACTCTGTGCTTAAAGGACAAGTGGCTAGTGTTATCAAGAAGACAATCAACACTGGTAATTATCTGCTTTTCCTGAAGATTGTTTTCAAGAATGACAAGGACACTGAGTGCATTTATTGGTATCTCCTGTTCTGGCAAATATTATAGAATAGTTTAAAGAAAATAGTATTAAATCAAAATCGCACTCCCTCAACATTTCCCCCATCCTCAACGTGTTATTTTCCTTTCATTTTAAGAAATACATTAGGGAACAGCTTTCTTGAGAACCAGAGCAGATTAACAGCAACAGAGACCAAAGTCCAGGCTCTGTTTCTTGATGTATAATCATTACCTGTTAGAAATGTAATGTTCCTATCCTCAAAAGATAGCACTGAAGTGCTGAGATCGCGATTGCCTGTTCTGGCACAGAGCCTGGATGTTTCTCCTGAAGTAAGTTGAAAAAAAGTTCATAGTGATTAATGATCTAATTACTGGCCCTGTGTCACTGCTTAATGCTCTCTTCAGTAGGATAAGGCAGCTCTGGATGGCAGTAGTTTCTGTCTTTCCCTCTGTTCTCCAGGTGTTTTTTCAGCTTGGGCCCATTGAATGTTCCCATTGGGGAACATTGTGCCTAGTTTCTCTAATCAGTGTGATTAGCTTTTCTTTGTGAAAGTTAACAAGTCAGTTTTTAGGTGGTGATTGGCTTGGAAGTAGTTAAAACAAACAACCTGATTTTCTCAAGATGGTCTTCAGAACTTTATAAAGATCCAAGCCATGTAGTGGGTGTCTGGCTGCTGAAACAAAGACACTCCAGACATTTAGAAGGTGTTGTGTTAAACTCTATGGAAACATTTCTGGTACCTAATTAGTTGACAATATAAATGCTTCTCTCTGTAAGTACAAATGTCTTGTTAGTCTGGTATCCATCTTAAAGTGTGCCTGGTGGTGGAAGGCTGGAGAGGAAGTGCTGGTAAATTAGAGTAGTAGAACTGGTTCTGACATAAAATCATCATGTAAGGGACAATATGCAAGGAATATACTTCTATTTGATAGTCTTTTCACTGTTGTGTTGCTGCACTATGCTAAAGACAATGTTCTCCCTTTATTTTTCTTTAGATTTCCCTTTTCCTTTTACTTGGCTAGCTGGATACCTGGCTATGCTTGCAGGGGCGGGGATGACCTTTGTTGTCCAAAGTAGTTCTGTTTTCACCTCTGCTATTACACCCCTTGTTGGTAAGTTGTCAATATTGTATTCTTTAACCTCGTGTTTCATCTTCTCTGTTTTCCTGAAACCACTCCGTCCTGTTTCTTTTCTCCTAGGCATTGGTGTTATAAGCATTGAGCGCTCTTACCCCCTCACCTTAGGAGCTAACATTGGCACAACCACAACAGCTATCCTTGCAGCTTTAGCAAGTCCAGGGACCACGTTAAAGTATTCATTACAGGTCAGTATAAACTAACGCTTCCTTGAATTATTTAGAAGTTTCAACTTTTTTGAAGAAAAAAACTGACATAATTTGTTGTGAAGCAAATATGCTATGGACGCTGTGCTTGATTTTGAGCTATTAATGGTGGCTCATTAAGTTCAACTACTAGAGCTAAAAGCTTTTAATAAGCATTCTCAAAATGTTGTTATATAGTAAAACCTTACTTTCATAAATTGGGCTTAATCTGATGGGATAAGTTCAGAGCTGAGACAGGGTTTACCTCTTCACCCCTGAGTCTGTGGCCTCTGCAGCTGGGAATTCAGGGCTCACATCTCCAACATCACTCTTAGGTAGTCCCCCATGAGGGTTACTCATTTCTGTAAGTTCCCTCCTTAGGACCATAACTCCGTTCACACAGGGTATACGGTCTCCTGTAACCTGAGGGAAGGCTGTACAACCTGCAAGATGGCAACATCTACCAAACTGAGGTTGCAGTGGGCAGGTGGCTTCTGCTTTCTCAATGTAAATCTCCTCTGACTGGGTTCCATTGAATTCCTCATTGCCTCAGACTATTTGGGAAGTAGGAAGCCTGGCTTTGCGCTTCCATTTACCACCCAGTAAGGAACATTCCAGGCAGCAGATAACATTTGAATGAACCCTCTACATCAAAGAGTGAAAAGATAATGAAGTTTCCTTTGCGAATAAGATGAATGTTTTTTACTAGCCCCAATACATCAAGAAAATTACAGAAGTAATTTTATTGTCTTCAGGCATGATAGAACAGATGTAATCATGAGAAGATACTATCTTGACCGAGCTCAGATTTCACGATAACTTGCTGTTTTTATAACATACTTTAAAAATACACCCCTGTACTTTCATGTTAACTTTAATCTGATAACAGTTACAGAATGAAAATCAGGTGAGCAGGGAACACACTGTTGGGGTTTTTTTCTGCATATGCTTGTTTTGTCTAAGCAACTTTAGAGAGCTTTAGCAAATAGATGTCTTTTCATGTTTATTTTTTAAAAAATAATTTAAAAGTCCGTGAATCAAATTATTATAAGAGACCCAGACAAAGTCCAGGAAGCTCCTCATTGCCCTATTAACTTTTAAATAATTTTTGGAAAATCCAGCTTTGTGCTATTAACAATTTATCAATAGCCTTTAAGCAGTATCTAATTTACACTTCCCTTCTTTTAATTGTCAAGTTAAGATTGCAGAACCCAATAATGAACAGTTCTACTGTAGTTCTTGCACCTTACTAACAAGAGGACTGTTTACCCATAGTTGTTTGTTTTGTCAGCTTTATTTCTGATGGACTCTGCTTCTTGCAGTTGAAAGCTGCATTTTGAGACCTCTCCACCTGCAGGGGAATACTTCAGCCCCTCTAGGCTTGCCTTGTTTCCAAATGCTGCTCCCTCTTTGCAGGCAGTGATCTTCACAATGCCTGAGGTATTACTGGGTCCTGCCTAGTGCTGGGAAAGGCCTTGCAGTCAAACAGCAGGGAGGACGAGCAAAAACAGTGGGAAGTAAGGGAAAGGAAATGATGCCACTGGGAGTTATTATCATGTGAGTAGGAGCACTTAAAGGCATTTAGTTCAGTAACCTCTGAAATGTTTTTGCTTTCAGATTGCCCTGTGCCACTTTTTCTTCAATGTCTCTGGGATTATCCTGTTTTATCCAATACCTTATACACGGCTCCCAATCCGCATGTGCAAGACCCTGGGAAACGTAACAGCCAAGTATAGATGGTTTGCTATATTTTACCTTCTCGTCTGCTTCTTCCTTTTGCCTTTGTTTGTATTTGGTCTGTCGCTGGCAGGCTGGCCAGTCCTTTTGGGTGTTTGCCTTCCCCTGTTTGCTCTTTTTATTGCTGTGGTTGTCATTAATGTTATGCAGAAAAGGCGACCACATTCACTGCCCGAGAAGCTCCAAAATTGGGATTTTCTACCTGTCTGGATGTACTCCCTGGAGTACTGGGACAATATAATTATGTCTTCACTCGCCTTTTGTGGGAAACACTGCTGTGGCTTCTGCAAGTGCTGCAAAGTCAGGGCCGAACAGGAGGGTGCCAAAGACAGCCAGCTAAAAAGTGCAGAGGTTTATGAAAACACCATTGCAATGGCTGATGAAGAAAGAGGTGGAAGAAGGGCACCAGTTGCAGCTTGTGTCGAAAAAACAGGCACAAACAACACAGCCTTATAGTAGTGGATCAACCCATCTTATCAGAGACACAGCATAGGACAGTCAGGCTCTTGAAAACCACCTTGGACAATGCACTGAGGACAGAGTGAATATTTTGTTAGGTTCCTGCAGCCAGTGATATATCACTCATCAAGGAATGGAGTCAAACAAGCTTGACAGAGTCCCTAGAAAATCTATGATCAGTTGAAAAAGCTAATGACAGATTTGCTTACAGAGGATCTACTGTGTGGCACCTTCATCTAATGTTATCAGTAGCAAACAAGAAATCCTGATGTAGAGAGGGATGAAAAGAGTGATGATCAATTTGAACTTAATTTAAAAAAAGCAATGCACTTGTAGAACAGCCTTTCTGACCTACTGGCTTATTCAGCAGAAGTTACTTTATAATGCAGAAAATGCTCTGGAAATGAAAAAAAAAAAAAAAAGAAAAAAAAAAAGGGGGATGAGGAAGGGAAGAGAAAGAATCCTTGCTGAGTCATTGGCCTGTTTTCAGTGGTCAAAATGGAAAATAGTAGTTTTCCTAGCATGGACAAAATTTATCGTATGTTTGTGAAGGAAAAGGAAATGCTGGGACAGCCTTTAGAAGATCTGGGAGTCCTACTTTGGCATAAAGGTAAACACAAGCCCATTTTGAGCCCTCTCTGTCTCCTTTAACACTGGGGACAGGAGTTACAATATTTTACGATCTCAAATTCTAGGCAATAAAAGTAATTGCTGATCCCTCTGCCTGCTGAAGGTTACTGGGTTCAGAGACACAGAGTGGCTGCCAAAGTGCTTGGTGGACTCAGGATGTGGCTCTGTGGCCTTTCCTCTCTCCAGATGGTGCTCCCCAATCTTGATCACCATGTTACCACACAATCAGAGGAATGGGGCAGGAAGGGAGGACAAGTGGCCAGTGTAGGGGAGGAGGCAGCCACCCAAGCCTGGGTTTACTCTAGGAGATGGCTGTGTAATTGTGGCTCTGTTTTGCTGAGCCACTAAGTGACCTTTCAGAGTAGTGGTGGAGACAGGCTTTAGAGCTGCAAGAGAGGGAACCCAGAGAGCAGGTTATGGCTAGCATGGGACATATGGTAACATTTGCTAGAGAGAAAGGAGCATTCATTCTGCATCATCACTTCTTGCTGTGAACTGCCCTCCTTGGAAATAATGTTAATTTTAGTGGCAATTGTATGTAGCAATCCAAAGCCCAATTGAAATCTGTGTGTAGTGTAGGCACTGCCATGTGTAGTCAATCCATAGGCAGTGAAGCAGCTGGAGGGAAGCTGCTTGTGCTCAAATCTTACCATTACTGATGTTTTAGTAAACGTTCATGAGGCTGCTCTGAATCATGGGCTGACAAAAGGCTTAACTTCAATGCCAGAAAAGGAGCATTTTAAAGACACACTGAGTACTTTTGCTGGCCTTCAATAGCTTAGATATTGGTGAGTAGGGGATAATACCTGAAGTCCAACCACAAAGATTGAAAAAACCTGAACAGGTGGCTGAATGTAGGCCAAGTGTCATTTAAAGCCAGTTAATATGGCTGAGTTGTAGATTAAATTTGTAATGGAAATGTTGGGAAGTCCCTTAGTTTAACATAGCCACTCAGTGCTGCTAGAACACATCTACTTCTGAATAGTTGTTTGTTTTCTGCAGAGCTCTGGATTTCAGTAGATTGAATTTGGCTATCAGGTAAACATGTACATTTTAGAACTGAAAAGTCTTTTCATTCACCTTTTTAAACTGGTATTTAAACTGGTTTACTATGCTGCTGAAAATGGGTTTGCAAATTTTATTCATACTGCAATTCAAACTATTTCTGTAATTGTGAGCCAGTGACAGAATGCTTGGAATCAGAGTGAATTTCCAAAAGAAAATAGTTTTGGTATATTTCTGCTCTTTTTGGATTTAGTAGCAGAGAGCAGAATTATGTCAAACTACTATTTAAAAAATATTTTCTGTGTTCTTCATATAGTTGAAACAGATTTTTTTCAGCATTTCATTTTCAAAGTGGAATTTTGATATCTTCAATAATAATTATTTGGTTTATTTGCACAGGTCTGGATGCTTTCAGAATGTGTTTATTTAAAGCCCAGTGGGCATTTCCCATGCTCTGTTTCTTTGAGAAAAATATCCAAAATTCTTTTCAAGTTATCTCAAGTTTCCATTGACCACCCATTGAAACAGGAAACATTTTAATCTGTCTTTACTCTTTTCTTAAACAATGTGCACCTTATTTTGCATCTCTAGGTAAAACCACTAAGCACATTGGTTATAACTGTTGGAAAGCAGTTCTTGCAAGAGAATCGGGGTAATAATTAATAGGCATATCAGTACTTTATGGTTCCTCATTGTAACATTTCCCCTGTGATATATTCTGTTTTCACTCCCCTCACTCCTTGCTCCAGGCCATATTGTGCCATTGTTTTTGGCAGATTCTGACAAAGATTTCAGTTTAATTCTTGACAGCACAACATGTTCCTGGCTTGTTTTCCCCCCTCCTCTTACCAAAAGATATATATGCTTTATTTATAATTATTTGAGTGTACAGAATTTTTCGTAAGTTATACAGACCAATGCTGTTGATTGTGTTATATATTACATATTTGCAAACTATGCAATGTTTATCTATAAAAATGTAAAAAGGAACTACTGTATATTTTGTAATATAACTTTTCAAATTGTTTGTATACTGTGTATTGTGGAGGCTGTTGGCTCCATCAATAGGTTACATAAAGATTGTCAGCAATGCAGAGACAGATTTCTTAAAGATCTAAAACATCTACATACTTTCATAATATGGCTTAATGCACAAGGATATCAAGCTCTACTTTTCTAAAAGTTGCGAATTTTCTGTAATGAAGAATTTTGGAGATACAAGGTTTCTAACATACTTTTTTAAACCCTTAAGCACTATTATCTTTTAACTGTTTTGAGGACAGTATATGGCTTTATACTTCATCATGAATATTCATCTTGTCTGTCCTCGTGCATTGAATGTAAAAATAAAGAGAAGTTTTAAAAAAATAAGATTTTCCTAATATCTATTTATATATTTATCTGTCTCATGGAAGCTTGCAGCAAAATAAGTATGAAGACTAGTTCAAGTCTGACTTGATGCAATGAACAAGAAATGAGGTTAGCATCAAGCACTAAAGAAAACTACCAGAGGCCTGTGTGTCTGACATTTTCACATGGAGAAAAGGAAAAATGATTGCTCAGTGCAGTGGTGTGGGTCAATAAATTTTCCAGACAAGGTTCTGCAGACTGTCCACACTGAAGGTAAGCATGGAAGAGCAAAGCCAGGGCAGTTGTAACAACAGGAGGCATGATGAGTTACAGCAAATTGGATGTTTTGCCATGCTGAGCTCAGATTCTCCCTTCCACAAGAAAGATGGCAAACACATTATTTTCAAGATGCTTCTCTTACCCCATTACCTGAGTGATGTCTGGCTCATAATTGTGTAAAAATAGCCATCTTGCTGGGTTGGTTTGTTTATTTTTCTATCAGATGTGACTTATGGAACTTAAAATTAAGCAGGTAGAGAGAAATAAAAAGTACTCCTTAAACGCCAGTTGACTTCCTAACTATAAGCTCAACAGTAGCTGAGGAACTAGCCCAAAAGGCAACTGTCATCCCCAACTACACCATATTTTAGTGAAATTAATATAACAAAAACATTTCTTAGAACACAAATTTTTGTGCACTAGAGTGTAAACTCTGTTCTAAAAATGTAAGCAGTAAGCACCCTAGATCAGTGGTTTGAAACTTCTAGCTTCTTACAATCATGCAGAGCTACTGTAATTCTGTGCTCCATCACCCCCCATGACTCACTGTCCATCAGGAACTAAAGCCCATCCTGGGAACGCGCACAGGCTGTGTCATCCTTTTCGCTGTTCCCAAACTCTTTGCAATTACCTAAGGCAAAGTTCAGCCATGTCCAGAGGTATTTAACAGCAGGTATGTCATGAAGTGCTGCACTGATCAGAAACCTTCAAAACATTCACAATAATTCTTCAGCTAATTGCTTAGTTCAACCTGTGACTGGTCTCAGTTCTCTTCCTCCCTGCTTGCAACTTAACCATGTTGTCCACAGCTTCTTCTGATGCTCCTGTGCTTTTTTAACCCCCTGCTGAAGTTCCACATTCACTTCCCCAGGTTTTAAATATTTGATAATGCTGCATTTAATTGCAGCAGACGTACTGCTATGGTGGGTTCTCATCAGTCAGAAATGCAGGCTAAATACTCCATCATCTCTTTCTTCAACATGCCATGTAGTGGTGGGCACCCAGCCAGGTCCCCAGGAGAGCTGCTGGCGGTGCCACTGGGAAAAGCTGTTCTCTGACTTGTTGTGGGCGTGCAGACTGGTGTGGAACCATGGGCAGTAGCTGAACCAACAGACAATAGCAAAGGAGCTGATTCCTTTAGTTAGCATAGTGAGTAGTGCTGAGCAAAAATCCACTATTTCAAGGGCTGGGCACAGGAGGATGTACTCCACACAGATCCCAGGGGATGCCAGGCTGTGCTTCAGTTGCACAATTTCAGTAGGCTGTGCTTCCATGGAAGTGCTTTATTGGCACCTGGATGTTTCTGTCTCTAGGTGATGGCCAGTCCTGGTGTTACCACATGCCAAAGTCATGACACTGCATGTGTAAACCCACTCATGGTATTTTTACAGTGAATAATCTGTAGCTCCTAGTCCCTGTATTAAAATTCTACTATGAAGGAAACACATGATTCGTATGAGAGAACAGAGTGCCTACTTTGCATATTGGATAGTAATTATACCCATCTTCATTGAGCTGTCCCTAAGCAGGTTTCCCCTAACAACTGAGATCCAAGTGTTTCAACAAGACAGAGAATCAGAGGGAAGACTGACATTAAAATGCAACAAACATTCTGTCATGTTCAGCACGTGATGAAATGCCCTAATTGCCACTTACGTTTTGGGGTGTATCAATCTTTCTTCACTGCTCAGTATCTCAGGACAGGTTACCACAGCATAAACAATCAGGATAATTATAGGAGAACATATTTTGCAACCAACACTGCAGTTGACAGATTGGTTTTTTACACAATGCAACATGCACAAATTACAAGGCAGGCAAATAATTTATGGACCAAAAGCTGCCCTTGGTTAGGCAACATGCAGCCACAATTGACACTAGAAAAACTGGTG